CTCGTCCGGCTCCAGGCTGCACTCGAGGCAGTCCCGCAGCAGAGCCGACAGGCGCCGGGGCTCCTGCAGCTGCGGGGTCCCGTTCTGCCGGATCAGAGCGCGAGCCTGCAGGGAAAGCAAACTCAGCGCTCTGCCAGCTCCCTTCACACCCACACGGGCTCACATCCACCCCGGGGCCTCAGCCCCAGCTCCAGGGGCACTTTCCTCCCTGCCACAGATGCTGCTCCGAGCTCATTTTGCTATGCCAGCCAAAAAACCCAAACCCTGGGGCTGCCACAGCCACTGCAACATCCAAATGATCTCACCTTGAGAGCCAGTTTCATTGGCTGACTCTGTTAGTAGGAACCTTCATCAGAAATAGCACATTTTGTTTCTCCAAATGTGGACACCAGCTTTACAGGCCATTTTCCAGAGTCAGTGTGGTCTGCCTGTGTTATTTCAGAGGATTCTAACATCAAGTGCATCTCTGCAGTGCCACTGACACTCAAGTAAATGCATTCCTGATGCCCCATCCCAGAAACTGCCAGGCAAGAAACAGGAGGTTTGTGATGCTGAAAGCTCAGGCTTGGTGACACGGAGAAAGCAGCTTGGACTAGGAAAGAAATACGTTAGACTATGGGGATGTTAAACAATCATCTTCATGTTCTCAACAAATTTCCCTGTGAGAAGAATCAGGGTGGAGATCAACTTGCAAAATATCTTTTAGAAACTCCTACAGAAAGCTTGTTTTTGGGACTGGGATTTGGGGGTGGTTTGGGGTTTTCTTGCAAGATAACATTAGAGCTGATGCACTTGCTTCACATTTTCAGGTCATCCTCACAGCCAGATGAGCTGCAAAAACATAAATCCCAAAGCAAATTGTTGCTGGAGACTGAGGAATGTTCTCCTGTGTGGAGGCTGGAGTGCTCTGGGAATTCCCTTCCCATGTGCAGAAACCTCCAGCTGCTGCTCCCAGTGCAGGGTCCCCCTGTGCTCACAGGCCTCTGCAGCCACTGGAGAATTTGCCTCTTACCATGGCCGCCGTTTCCCTGAAGTAAGGAGGTTCTCCTTCCACCATCTCGATGGTCACAGTGCCAAAGGCCCAGATGTCCACCTTGGGGCCATAAGGAGATCTGGTCACAGCTTCTGGGGCCATCCAGTGAGCAGTGCCCACCATGGAGCTGCGCTGGTCCTGCTCAGGGCTGAGCTGAGCGCAGAGGCCAAAATCAGCTGAGGACAGAAACAAACCCCGTCAAAGGCAGCTGGAATGAGGAAACCAAGCACCAAGATTCCCCACTCTCAGTCTGAGAGTGCAGTAGTGAAGTCAGCTGGAAAAGCCCTCAGGGCTGTAGCCAAGCAAAGATGGAACTGGACCCTTCAAGAAACCCTCAGCTTTCATGCAGTGGCTTTTACTGATTCCCTTGGAGCTTTAGATTCCCACTGCTGCCCCTCTGGCAGGGCCATAGGCAGAGCAAAGGCACTGCTGGCACCCTGCTCCTCTGCTGAGCTCTCTGCAGGGGCAGCCGCTCTCAGCTAGCAGCAGGGGCCGGGCAGTGCCCCCAGCAGCCCTTGTGGGGCTCTGGCCCTCCCTGGGAAGCAGCCCCACACCCGCAGCCCGGGAGCGCCGTGCCTGGCCAGGAACACCCACCCAGCCTGACAGAGCCGTCCGTGCCCAGGAGGATGTTGGAGCTCTTCAGATCCCTGTGGATCACCCGCTTGGAATGGAGGAAATCTAGGCCCTGCACACACTGAGAGAGAACAATGTGGTAAATAGGTGTGATTCATGCTGATAAAATTGAAACAGTCATCAATATTGATACAGTAATTAATATTTGGAAATAATAAAACAGTTAAAAGTTGTAATGCTAAGGAAGAAAGGGAGAGGAGGGGTTCCATCCCCCCTCCTGGCAGATGTTCAAGGATAGGAGGAAAAAGCAAGAGATAACAGTTACTAAAAATTAACTGAGAGAAGTGAAAATCTGGTTGGGTCCCAGGAAAATGCCCGCTATAAGAGATTTATTGCTTTGATGCTAAAATGTAGTAATATCTTAGTTTTGGCTTACATTATCCTGGCTTGGTGTGCATGTGTAACCCAAAGGTGAATTAAAGGACAATGAAGAAGACTATACGGCCTTCATCAGTGACTACCCCCAAAGACCTGTGCGACCACCAAACCGAGTGGTGGCGCATGCGTGGTAAAGGTGGTGAGGAGGGCGGAGACAGAAAAGTGACGAACCAAAAATAGGAGGAGATGGCATTGACACATGGCATATAAGGGGCGACTTTCACTTGGCAAACTTGTACGTGAAGTGGCAAGGGTCATTGAACCCTGCCCTCCGTACCCCGCGGTTGTTTTATCTTATGCGCTATTATTTGAACCATATTATCCCTAATTTATATATTTGCTAAACTATTTAATTAAAAATGCTGCTACCTTAAATATTGTTTGGGTTTTTTTTATGATGGGATAATTGGGCAAGCATAACACCTGCAAGCACAGAAGGACACCCGTCAGGGCTGGGCTGGCTGCTGAGAATGCCTCGGGCAGGAGGATCCTCCAGCAACGAGCCCAGAGCCACTCTGGGCACTGAGGCCTCTGTGTCCCACAGCAACGGGAACACCACAGGGACGTGGCGCTGCTCCTGTGACATCCCAGCAGCAGCTCACGCAGAAACCACCTGGAAGGTTCTCCTGTGTCACAAAGGAGCACAAAGAATCCTCCCAGGGCACAGCCCATGGCCCAAAGGGTGCAAGAGGAACTCGGAAAATGCAGCAAACAAGGACACCCCATAGCCCAGCCTGAACACTGAGAAGGAACAAGGACGGCACCGAACCAAAGGAAACGTGACCTTTAGTCACTGATAGTTCTGACTAAAAGCAGCAAGCCTTGTTCCATCTGGGATCTTTGTTCTAGTTCTAAAAACAAGCAAGGTTCCCCACTCTAAATACACAGAAAGCAGAACTGGGGAGGAGGTGAGATTAGGAAGGAGGAGGAGGAGGGAGAGAGGGAAAGGAGGAGCGGGAAGAGGAGGAGCAGGAGCAGGAACAGGAGGAACAGGAGGTTCCAGTGCCCCCTGTGGCCGCAGTCGCGGGACCATCGCCCCCAGCTCGTCCTGCAGGTGAGCGGGGAGGGGGAGCTCGTCCCAAATCCATCAGGGGGGTCCCTGAGAGGGTTTTTTATTGGGGTGTGTTTGGAGCTCGCAGATTGTGGAATTGACCCCAGATATCATCTGGTGTCTCTGGGAGGTTTTTTTCTCTGTGTGTGTAGGTTTGGATCTTGCAGGACCCCAAAGCTGAGCCTCTTGGGGGATCTTTGGGGGCCCACAAGGCCATTGCCCCGTATGGGCAGGGGAGGACATTGGCCCTGGGGACCCCCGGGAGAGCAGAGGAGGGGAACCCCTGGGACCCCCAGAGTGGGGAGAGCAGAGAGGGGCGATCCCAGAGCTGGGGGACCCCGGCAGACTGGAAAGAGGGGGAGCCTGGAGAGGAGGGACCCCTGGGATCTCAAAGTAGAACATCAGGGTAGAAGGGACCCCATGGACCCCCAAAAGCCCCTGGATCATCCCTAAGCAGGACGCCGGAGAATGAAGAACCCCTGGAACCATTGGACCCCTGTGATCCCAAGGAAAGGAAACCTGTGGAACCCCAAAAGTGGAGAGATCAGCATTAGGGAGCTCCTGGGAGAGTTTTTTTGGGCTAAATCTTGATGTGTGGAGATTTTCATGGACACAAGACTCCTGCTGAGTTCCAGAGATGGACCTGGCCAGGAGGAGCCTCTACTCCAAGGCGCTCCCACCTTGGTTTCCCCCAAACCAGGGTTTCTCATTCCCAAGCTGTGGCTAAATGGAAGAGGTGGAAAAGTCCCAGAGATCCCTCACGTGGAGGGGCTGCAAACCCAGCCCAGGGAGGTGTGGGGAGGAAAGAGCCCCTCTGAGCCAGGAAGGCAGCCGGAGATGCAGCCAGAGCTCAGAGCTGGTGGAGAAGCCTCATGGCAGGGAGAAGGCCCACAAGTGCTTGGAATGCGGGAAGGGTTTCAGCTCCAGCTCCACCCTGATGGAACACCTGAACATCCACACTGGGGAGAGGCCCTGGGAGTGTGGGGAATGTGGGAAGAGCTTCAGTGGGACCTCCGACCTCAGCAAGCACCACAAGATCCACACTGGGGAATGGCCCTAGGAATGTTCAGAATGTCAGAAGAGCTTCAGGTGGGATTCAGAGATCGTCACTCACCAGCACTTGCACACCAGGGAGAGGCCCTGCAAGTGTCCCGAGTGTGGGAAGAGCTTTGTGCGCTGCTCCAGCTCCATCCCCCATGGGAGGATCCGCGCTGGATGATCCCCAGTGACCCCCGTTGGGCAGAGCCCTGGTGACCCCTGTTCTGGCTGATCCGTGTTGGGATGGGGGAAGGTCCTGGACAGATTTCTTTCCCTTCTCCTTGTGCTGCTGTGATTTGGTTGGTAATGAATTCCCTCCGTGTTCCCAGGCCGGGTCTGTTGTGCCCGTGCAGGATTTGCTGAGGGATCTCTCCCGGTCCTTGTCCCCACGCAGGAACCCTCGGTTCCATTTTCTGTCCCTGTGCGGCTGCGCAGGGCAGGGACAGAGCGGCTCTGGGGGTGCCTGGCATCGGGCCAGCGTCACCGCTCGCCACGGGCAGCCCTGAGATGCCGCGCACCTGGGCACGCATTGCTGGGCTCACCTGAGCTCCCACCTGCCCAGCGCCCCAAGGTTCCCCCTGCCCAAAAAACCCCCAGCCCGGGACTGCAGCGTCCCGGAAAGGCCTCAGCCAATGGCAGCGCAGGTAGGAGGCAGCTTAGCCAATGAGAGGTCGGGGCGTTGGATTGCCTCATCGGTTGCCGGGCAGAGCCCGTGGCCGATCGCTGCCCAGAAGCGGCGGCAGCCAATGAGAGCGCGCGGCGCTGCCGAGCCCGCCCTGCTCCGGACTGGCGCTCCCAGCGCAGCGCGGCTGCTTTGGGGCTGCTGCTCCCTGCCCGGCCCCGGCCATGGGGCGAGGGGCGGCAGCTGGGGCCCTGCTGGTAGCACTGGTGGTGCTGGGAGCCCCCCCGGCTGCGGGCGCGGAGCTCTCGGGTGAGCGGGGGGCGGGAGGCGCTGGGACAGTGGGGGAGAAGGGGGAAAAGGGGGCGAAGGGGGGAGCCCGAAATGGAGGGGGAGGAGGAGGGGACCTCCCATAGGGAGAGTGGGAGTGGCTGAGGGGTGAGGGAAGGAGAGGGAGGGGTGGGAGAGGGTGGGGAAGGGGGGAAATGGGGAGGGAGCACCTCAAATCGTTGTGAGAGGGGGCTGGGAATGGAGCCTTTGTAGTAGAATGCGGAAATGGGACCCCAAAATTGATTTGGGAGAGGCTGGATGTGTGAGGGGAGAGGATGTGGAAGGGGAAATGGGGCAAGGGCGGCAAAGAGGAAGCGGCAGCGCGGGCAGGAGGGTTCCACGGAAGCCGTGGGGCACAAGAGGTGCGGAGCGGGGATCCGGGGTGGCCCCTGGAGCTCTGGGGGTGCTGGGAGAGGGTGGTGAGTTGGCACTCCCTGACCTGTGTCCTGCACACTCAGGGGTGTTCCAGAGGATGACAAAGTCCGACTGTTACTTCACTAACGGCACGGAGAAGGTGAAGTACGTCCAGAGATCCATCTACAACCGGGATCAGTTCATAATGTTCGACAGCGACGTCGGGCACTTTGTGGGGTTCACCCGCTATGTGGAGAGCTTGGCCAAGCGCTGGAACAGCAACGCAGTATTGATGGAGGACAGACGGACTGCGGTGGACTGGTTCTGCCGGTGCTGGTACAAGAATTTTACCCCGTTCATCACGGAGCGCCGAGGTGAGCGCGAGGGAGAGCATGTCCCCTCGGGGCCTGCACTGCCAGTGACCCTGGAGCCCCTCAAAATCTCCCTGGGCATCGGCCCAGATCCCTCAGCCCTCCTTGTGCCGACCCCCGGGGTCTCCAGATCCTCCCAGTCCCTCCCAGTGGCCCCCCGCGCGTCCGTTTCAGCGACCCGTAAAGTTGACGCTTGGCAACCAATGAGATCGCAAGATCGCATCCTCTTTATGACTCATCTGTTGCCAGGCAGACTCGCAGCACGGAGTGCCTCGCGCCGGACTCGGCCTCCCAGTGGCGCGCACTTCATTCCCAGTTCCTCCCAGTGCCACCAAGATCCCTCCCAGTGCCATTCCAGTCCCTCCAAGACCATGCCCAGTTCTTCCCCAGTCTCTCCCAGTCCATTCCCAGTCTCTTCCCAGTTCATTCACAGTTCACTCTTAGACCTCCACCCTCTCTCCCAGTTCCCCCATTCCTTCCCATCTCTCTGTGTCACCCAACTCCCTACTAGTCTCTCCCGCTCCCTCCCATCACATTCCCCAATCCATTCCCTATCACTCCGAGTCCATTTCAGTCCGTTCCCAGTCCCTCTCCAGCCCAGCCCAGCCCTCCCCTCTCTGTCCCAGTGCCCCGCGGCTGATCCCAGTGTGTTCGCGCTCTCTCTGTCTCTCCCGGTGTCCCCCAGCGTGTCCATCTCGCTGATGCCCCCCTCGAGCTCCCAGCCCGGCCCCGGCCGCCTGCTCTGCTCCGTGATGAATTTCTACCCTGCTGCCATCCAGGTGAGGTGGTTCCAGGGCCAGCAGCTCTCGGAGCACGTGGTGGCCACCGACGTGGTCCCCAACGGGGACTGGACCTACCAGCGGCTGGTGCTGCTGGAAACGCCACCCCGGCGTGGGCTCAGCTACAGCTGCCAGGTGGAGCACGTCAGCCTGGAGCAGCCCCTGAGGCGGCACTGGGGTACGGGGGAGCCCCTGGGGGCGCTGGCAGAGCCGCTGGGCTGTGCTGGGAGCCACTGGGAGGGAGCTGGAGAGAGCCGGGCGGGAACTGGGAGAGGGGCTGGGGGCTGGGCAAGGGCTGGGAAGGGGTCTGGGGGATGCTGGGGAGGGTGGGATGGGCTTGGGGGGGTCCTGGTGGGCACCGGGAGGGAGTTTGGGGGCGCTTTGTGTGACTGGGAGGGATCGCAGTGAGCCCCGAGGGGCTGGAAGGAGATTGGCGATGGCAAAGCGGGCCTCGCCATGAGCTCGGTTGTGCTGGGCACAGCCTGGGAGGGCTCTGGCTGAGTCCTGCTGGGGCTGCCAAGGGACTGCGAGAGGCTTTGGGGGTCCTGGGGCGCTGGGGGGCAACTGGGAGGGGGCTGTGGGATGCTGAGAGGGACGAGAGGGGCTTTGGTGGCTCCTGGCCAGGACAAAAAGGGATCGGAGGGAGCTTTCAGTGGTTCCTGGCTGGGCTGGGGGCCACAGGGAGTGCGCTGGGAGGAGCTCGGAGTGTCGGTGAGAGGTTTTGGGGGTGCTGAGCCCTGCGGACCCCCCAGAGATGCCGCCGGACGCCGCCCGCAGCAAGATGCTGACGGGCATCGGGGGCTTCGTCTTGGGCTTGGTCTTCCTGGCGCTGGGGCTCGGCTTCTCCCTGCGCAAGAAGGTCAGGGCGGGTGCCGGGGGTGGCGTCCCCGCCGTGGCGGAGCGTGTGCACTCCCGCCGGGGCCCCCAGCCCGGTGTCACCCCCTTTTCTGTGCCCACAGAGCTCCTGAGCCGGCGGCGGCCGCAGCCCCTCCCCGTGGGCTCGGGCCCGGCCGGGACCCCCCTGCTCCGTCCCCGCTCCGCTGATTCTGGGGGCGTCCCGTGTCCCGCCCAGCCCCGCTGGCGCTCTGCCCCCGCCCAGTGCCTGCTCCCAGTGCTCCCAAAAAAGCTTCCCAGTTGGGCCCGGGCCGTTTATTGGGGGGCGATGGGACGGATTTGGGGAAAGGGACGGGGACAAAGGGTGGGGGCTGGGCCCGGGAGGAGCGGGACGAGGAGGAGGAGGAAGGAGAAGAGGGAAGAGGGAAGAAGGAGGAAGGAGGAAGGAGGGGGGGACGTCAGAGAGAGATGAGGGGAAGGAGGCGGGAGGAGGAGAGGGAGGAGCGATTGAACTGGGAGAGGAGAGGCGGGAGGAAGAGGAGGGGGAGATGAGGAGAGGAGCAGAAACAGGAAAAGTAGCGGGGATCCCCCGGCCTTCATCGAGGTGTCCACGGGGGGCCAGGAAGATGTGGAACCCGCAGCCAGGAGTGTTCCCAACACGGGGGGCTCTGACCCTGGGGGTCACCCGGGATTATCCAGCGCGGATCTTCCAACGGGAGGTGGAGCTGGAGCGAGGCACGGAGCTCGTCCCGCACCGGGCACTGTGGGATCCGCGGGCAGGAACACATGCTCCTCCTGCTCCATCCCCCCTCCTGCTATCCGGCTCTGCCCTCACGCAGCCCGGGGGTCGCGGGGCGGGGCTGTGCCGTGTGCAGAGCCCGCCCCTGGCTGGGATTGGGCGATGGTGCCGTCAGTCGTGGATGTGGCGCGCTGATTAGTGGGAGCGGGGTGGAGCAGGGCCCCGGTGGCGGGCTGAGGGCGGCCGTGGCTGGGCAGCGGCGCCATTGTCGGTGTGTGTGTGCGGACCCGCGAGCGGCGGCAGCGGCCGGAGCGCGGTGAGGCGGCGGCGGAGCTCGGAGGCGGCCGCAGCGCAGGTGGGAGCCGCGCTGGGTTGTGCGGGGGCTCGGGGCTGGCTGCGGGCCTCGGGGGCGGCAGGGGGCTCGGGCGGGTTCGTTGTGCCGTGTCCGGCCCGTGTTGTCGCTGGCGTGAGGGCGCTGCGGGAGCGGCTGCCCGCGGTCTCCCTTGCGGCCGCTGCCTCGGCAGGAGCCGCTGGCGGAGCAGCGCTGGCTCGGCCCGGTTGCTGTGGCTGGGACAGAGGGGGCTGCCCCGTGCCCGGGGCTGTGCGGGGAAATTCCCGTGGCCGGAGGTTTCTGTGCGCAGAGGAGACAGAGGAGTCCTGTAAAAGTGACTTTATTGCTGAGCAGAGGGAGAGGCCGTTGGGCATTTGCCGTGCGCTCTCTGCCATTGTTGTAGTTCGCAGCCTTCTTTTTATCCTCATTTTCACGGCCTCATCTCCCTCTCCTTTTGCCCCCTGGCTGAGGTACTTGGAAGGTTCAGACCTCCCGATCCGGCAACTGCATGTCCGTGTTAATGTGCACCCCCACTTTTGTATAACAGCCGATATTCACGGCTCTGTTAAGGGTTTGTTCTTCTGGAAGTTCAGGAATTTAGCGGGACTTTCTGTGAGCAGCAGTCCATGTTAATTAGTAACATTTATTGAAGCTGGTGGTTTCGCCCGTTGCTTCCTTATCTACAAATCCCTGACCCCTCATTCAGCTGCTGAATGAGCTGCACTCTCAAGGTGTGGAGCATGGTAAAAAGATGAAAGTTGCTATAGCACATCAGAGGAGAAACAGCATTCGTTTAACCCATGGTCTGCCAGGGAGCCACAAAACCGTGTCCCATTCCCATCTTTCCACGTTTGGGCTGGAACATGAGGTGCTTTCGTACTTCCTTTGTTATCTGTTTCACCACTTTTCCTTTGTCATCTCTTTGCCAACAGCAGTTTGAGTAATTTAATTTTCCACAAACTCCCCTTTTTTCTGCTAAAAGGCAATATGATCCCATCCCATGGTGAAATGTTGTGTTCCTCATTTCAGTGGATTGGTCAGCAGGAAGGTCAGGAGCTGGAGCTGTCTGGTTGGTTATTGTTGCGAGGACAGCTTGTAATCTAATGATGCCATTGAAATGAGAAATGGGTTCTGTGGCTCCTGATATGAATTGGTTCGGGTTCCCAGAGGCTGGTCCCTGGTGTTGTAGAATTTGTTCTGCTGGCCGTTCATCTTTTCCCCATTTTTGGCTGCTCTCTCCAGCCAGGGCTGCATCAATTGACTGCTTTTCTCTAATTAAATAATCAAATACTTGGATACCCAACTGATTTCCCTGAATTTTTGGTAGCAAAAAATCCCCAGTGCTCTAATATACCCTATATAACACAGACAGTGACAGCACATGTTGGAGTGGGCAGAGGGATGATTCCCTTCCCATTTTTTTATAGTGAAGTTTTCCCAACATTCTCCATTTGCTGTTTCCCTTTGCAGCTTCACTCGTTTGTGTTGCAGGGTCAGATATCCTCCCCCTGGGCTCTGCCTTGAGCTGTGCAAATTCCATCAGTGCCAGCAGGCAGAGCTTGGGGTGAGGGGCAGAGGGAATCAGCCCAATTCCTGCCCCAGGCAAGAGACCCAGGTGCATTGTGCACACTTTGCCCAGCAGTGTTCATTTGCATTTCTAAAACTCCTCTGCAGGCTGCCTGGAATGAAGCTTCTCTTCCAGGGCAGCCATCTGGTGAGTCACATGTGGCCCCCCCGATATCTGCTTTTTTTTTAAAAAGTATTAACTCTTTATGAGTTCAAAGTATTATGGTTAAAGCTGTTCAGTTTTGCAAAATGCAACATAAAAGCAAACATGGAAAAATGCAGAACAAAACTTGATTTTCACACTTCTGTCCCTAACCCACCTGACCATATAAAGTGGGAATATTATGAAAATTTTTTCTCATATTGTAATTTTGTCACTGAAACTGCAGGGAAAAGAAAAACTCTGCAAGAATCTCTTTAGTTTTAGAGAGTCAAGGCATTCCTTTGTTCCTGCCAGGGTGTGCAAAAGAAATAATTTTTTTCCCAAATAGCCCAGCTGTGCAGAGAAAATCATTCCATGCCATATGAGTTTTACTGGATTTTTCCTAAACTTTATGTCGTCAGAACTAATCTAAATCCACTGGTTTAATGTTCATTGCTTCCAAGTTGTGTAAGTTTTTAGTATTTGGCTTCCTGTTGAACCCGGATTTCTTTGACTCTGATGTGAATTCGGTCTCCACACTCCTGGATTTCCTTCTCAGCCTTTTCCAGCCCAGGTGTCTCCAGCTCTGCCGGGGGCAGTGTCTGGGGTAGCTGTTGGTTGTGTTTGCTGCTGGGCAATGTTGATGTTTTGTTGCTGGTCGTTATCTCTGTGGGTGTCTTTTGGGCTGTTCCCAGTCTGTTGGGATGTTAAACTCATCTCCATTGAGTGATGTAACACCCCTTATATAAAACCTTTAAAATTCCTTTCCCAAAGGCAAACCTTTGTTTAGAGAAACCTTTCTGAGCAGAGAAATAAGATTTAAAAGAACCAAAATCGGTACATTTTGCAGCAGTGCAATGGCAGGCAGCCCAGAGTGTAGGTGTCAGTGAGCCCCAGAGTGGAATTGTGCCCTGGTGTTCCCCAGCAGCTGTGGCAGTGCAGGCCCAGCCAGCGCTGAAGCTGCAGCAGTGGCAGCAAGGCTTGGCCCCAGTGGCTGGAGATGGCAGAGGAGGGTGGCCGGGATTGCAGAGGATTCCAGGCGAGGATCTGTGGGCAGGCGCAGGGGCTTGGCCCGCTGTGGAGCCCTGGCTGCCTGAGCCTGCCCTGCGTTGCCTTCAGGGCAGGCTCAGGGGCGGTCTCCCATCGTCCTGCTGTGGGCGGGAAGTGCAAATCTGCGGGGCTTCAGAGCGCTTGAGGCCAGGCTGAGGGGTCCCCCCGTGTTGAGCTGTGCTGGCGGCTGTTTGTGGCCTCAGGGACACTTGGCATGGGCCCCTTGGCCACCAGTGGTGCTGCTTGGCACTCCTTAGGCAGGAGCCGATGTCCTGGCTGGGTGTTGGCAGCAGCAAAGTGCCAGAGCAGGCTGTGTGCCAGCCCAGCTTGCTGTGGGAGAATATGCCTTGATATCTGCTCCAGTGGTTGCTGAAGCAGTGAGAATTGCTTTTGCCCCCCTGTTAGGTGCCATGGTGTCAGCAGAAGATGTTGAAGCCTTCCTGCTCAGGGCATTTCAGTGCCAGGCTCTCACAAGCACCCACAGCTGGGCGGGTTGAGCTGAGCATGGGGGGGTGACCTGCGCTGTGTCTGATTCCCCTTCCTTAATAACAGCCTGTCTTGTAGCTCTTTTCCCTTCTGCTGCCCTTGCAGAGCCATCCACAAACACATTTTCTGCCTCAGGCCAGGGAATGTCCCATCAATCTGTCCCAGCCTGGGTCTGGAGCTCTGTCCCTTGAGTGCAGTCCTGGGTTCCTTGCCAGCCCCTCTCCAGGCTGTTCAAACAGGAGGCTGGGTTAAACCCTTGCCCTGTCCTCAGTTCTAAATCCTCCTGTGCCATTGAACAAGTTTCATACTGTAATAATCGAGCCCTGCTCATCCATTTAGAGGCTCTTCTGGTTGTCAGAGCTTTAACTTGATGCCAGACTTGAACTATAGGAGATCCTGTATAGGGTTAAATATTTTAGCACAAGGATTCCTTTGGCAAGACCCTGTTTATTATCCACCTAAAATTCACATTCTTTTTCCCTGTCTGGAAGGCCCAGTCCAGCTGCCTTAGTTAATCTTCATTTTAACACTTGAAAATTCTGTGTTTCCTCCTGCTGTCCATCCATCCAGTTTGTTGACTGGCAGGATAGGAGTGTTGTAGGGAAACATCCCTGGCTCCAAAAGCCCTGCCTTTAACCAGGACTCAATCCCAGGCTGTGAGCCCTTCCTTCCCTCTCTTGGAAC